GACAAAATCCCATCTTGACTCTGTACTATCCTCCACATGATTTATGACACTCCCAACTACAGCCGTTATAGTCGTCCTTTTACAGTTCCGACGTTTGACTGTGTCAAAGAATACCACTCCTCATATCGTATACATATAGAGACCTCAGGTGTTAGCACTCAAAGCGGAGTATTACATGAGATTTAAGTCATGACGTTAGGTCCATATGAAAATCTCATGCGGGTCATCCAGTATTCATTCACAAATGAACACCCATGATCATGATCCGTATCAAATACGCTATAATCATCTTTATGATCATCTATCATACATCATGCTAGTCTTTGTTCGTTAATGTTCCCACATTAACGATCGACTAGGGAGGTTAGTATTATTACAATAATAATACATGGATAACATTATTAAACAATAACATGCAATTTGAATAGTAATCATTAAGAAAAACGTACTTCCATTCATCACAATGAATTCAAGTACATAAATAAAATGTCCGTGCGAATAATCATGTCTAGAGCAAAACATCACAATCTCCAAATTCTCTAATCATGATCAACTAAATGTCTATTCCTCATCGACCTAACATACACTCATGTTTCGACGAAGGGAGAGGCTTCGTCAACGGGTCAGTGATGTTGTCATTTGTCGATACTCTTCATATAATCACATGTCCTCTGTCTACGATTTCTCTGATAAGATGAAATTGCCTGAGTATGTGTTTGGATCTCTGATGTGACCTTGATTGCACCATTGTTGTCACAATACAACGCAATGGGGTTCGCAATGCTAGGTACAACGCCAAGGTCTCCAGCAAACTTCTTGATCCAAACAACCTCCTTTTCCGCATCCGATGCAACAATATACTCAGCCTCTGTAGTGGAATCTGCAATGGTGGCATGTTTGGAACTCTTTCAACTAACAGTGCCTCCGTTCAGAAGGAACACAAAACCTGATTGCGATCGAAAATCATCCACGTCGGACTGAAAACTAGCATCGGTATAACCACTTAAAATGAGTTCATTTTCACGTCCACCGTAAATCAAGTACGCATCCTTAATCCTTTTCAGGTATTTCAGGATGTTCTTTGCGGATATCCAGTATGGCTTACCTAGATCAGACTGGTATCTACTCGTTAGACTCAATGCTATCGAGTACAATATACATGATAGATCCTATCGCCGAAGCGTATGGAATGTTATCCATGCGTTCTCGCTCGTCAGATGTCTTTGGACACTGATTCTTGCTCAGAACTAAACCGTGCCTCATCGGCAATGATCCTTTCTTTGATTCTTGCATGCTAAATCGTTTCAGCACCTTATCGACGTAAGTACTCTGACTTAGACCGATCAACTTTCTCGATCTATCTCTATAGATCTTGACGCCTAGAATATAGGCAGCCTCGCCTAAGTCTTTCATCGCAAAACATTTTTTCTAGCCATGACTTAACGTCTTGAAAAGTAGGAATATTGTTTCTGATGAGCAAGATGTCATCAACGTATAAGACCGGCAAAAAAACTGTGCTCCCACTGGCCTTCTGATAAACGCATGGTTCGTCCTCGTTTTGTAAGAAACGAAACTCTTTAACTGTCTCATCAAAACGCAGGTTCCACCTTCTTGAAGTCTGATTCAGTCTATAAACGGACCTCTGAAGCTTGCATACCTTCCTTGGATGCTCAGGATTTTCAAAACCCTCAGGTTGTGTCATGTACACATCCTCAAGCAGATTTCCGTTAAGTAATGCGGTCTTGACATCCATTTACCATATCTCATAGTCGTAATATGCGGCTATGGCAATGAGTATTCGAATGGATTTAAATATAGCGACGGGCGAGAAGGTTTCGTCATAGTCAATACCATAAATTTGTCGAAATCCTTTTCCCGCCAATCATGCTTTATAGGTATGCACGTTGCCATCCATGTCAGTTTTCTTCTTGAAAACTCATTTGCATCTGATGAGTTTTACCCCTTTAGATGCATCAACCAAAGTCCATACTTGGTTGTCGTACATGGATTGATCTCAGACTTCATAGCCTCGAGCCACTTCTCAGAGTCTGGGTTCCACATAGCATCTGAATATGATGTAGGCTCATCATGCTCCATCAGCACGAGTTCATCATTTCCAGTCTCGATAAATACATATCTATCGGGTTCATGTCGAATCTTGCTCGATCTCCGAGGTTCATCAACAATAGGTAAAGTTACAATAGGTTGGATATAGGTTGAACCGTTTCAACTATTTCGCTAGGTCCAGCTTCAGTTTGTGGCTCTTGGACTTCTCTAAGGTCAATCTTACTCCCACTAGTTTTCTTGGAGATAAATACTCGTTCCAAGAAAGTCTCATCTCGAACTGTTGGGTTCCCTTCGGGTTCCTAGCATGCGATCTCATCGATCTAGGGTTTGGATTCTAGGTTTCACGCAGCGGAAGGAAAGATCTAAACCTAGCCAAACGTCACACAAAACCAATTGTGCAATAACCCGAACAATCGTGTATATCGTCGTGGGATTCGAATACTTACCTCGTTCTTTCAAGATCTGGAAGTATCAATCGATCCAGGGCCTGTTTTAATCACCGAGAGTTGAAAGCACAACTCCTCTACACGTATCCACACCGGCGGGATGAATTCCAACAGTTTGGAACGTATCTGCTAGGATTTATGAAGAGAAAACGATGTCCTAGACTTGGAATCGATATTCCGATCACTAGAACTCAAGAGAAAGCTTCTCCAAAGCTCTAGAAAGTGTCTAGGACGTCTGAGAGTTCTATCTAGGGTTTGTGGTGGCTCAATCACTTAATTAGAATTGCCCAAAACCCTAAAACGCGAGAAACCGATAACTGTCACGTAAGCGTCCGTTCCTCAGCGGAACGAACGTTCCTCAGCGGAACTCTTCCAGATCGCTTCGTCGCTCTTTTCTCGCGTTGTTCTCTTCACGTGTGATCCATCCCTAATGGTGTGTGACCCTGTAGGCCCATTCGAAGTGGCAGTGGCTTCGGGAACCTTTCCCGAACCACAAGTCATGGTTAGTCTCTAGCAAGACGCCATGACCACCCACCTAGAATAGAGTTAGAGGTGATCTAACAAAGCCAGCAATAGTTCGAGTTCTGATCCTTTGTCTCACGATGTCGTATGTTGAACAAGGGCATGGTATGAGTCACCCTTCAAGTTCAACCGCTTACTCGTCTAGGCAAACCGACTGATAAAATAGATGTACATTCATCTATAGCGTGGCCACGCATTTTCACAGTCCGATTTCCACGAGGGGCCCAGCGACATCTCTCCTGCGTAGGAGGTGACAAGTCCCGTATTGCATGTCTACTATCTGCATATGATTCGTTAACGTATCTGAGCAACGCCGTTATGATCATCCGGTTAAAGACGACGTTTGACGCAGTCAAGACACGTCACTCCTCATATCAGATACTCTAGACATCTCAGGTCTGAGGATCCAAGAACGAACCGCTGTATGAGATTCAAGTCATGACTCATGTCCATGTGACAATCTCATGCGGGTCATCCAGTAACTCGTTCCAAACGAGAACCCATGATTGTGATTTGCATCTAATGCATATGATCATAATCATCTATCACACATCATGCTGGTCTTAATTCATCATTGTTCCCACAATGATAACTGACCAGGGAATTTAGAATCATCTGCAATGATTCAAGGATATTTATCGTAATATAACAAACATGCTAATCATATAACGGGAAAAGTAATGCATTCATAAACCAATGAATCAATACATAGTCAAAATGTCATATCACGGATCATCGTAGAGCATTACAACCAACACGAACAACAAACACTTTGGTCTCAGTTGGGTTATAGAAGTGGTACCCTCTTGTTTCCTTGGGGTAACCAACAAACAAGCACCTTCAGATTTGGGTCCTAACTTGTCAGATAGTTGACGTTTCACGTAAACGTCACAACCCCAAATCCTGAGATAAGACATTGACTCTTTCCAACCCATATCTCATACGGTGTCTTCTGAAACGATTTCGAAGGACTTCTGTTCAGTATATAAGTAGCAGTCTCAAGAGTGTATCCCCAAAATGATATTGAAAGATCAGTCTGACTCATCGTAAAGCGAACCATATCTAATAGAGTTCGATTCCTCCGTTCAGAAACATCATTCCATTGAGGTGTTCTGGGAGCAGTCAATTGTGAAAGGATTCCACAATCTCTAAGATAATCAGTGAACTCTTGGCTTATGTATTCACCACCATGATCAGATCGAAGTGGTTTAATACTCTTGCCAAGTTGAATCTCTACTTCATTTCTGAATGTCTTGAACAATTCAAACGTTTCAAATTTATACCTCATCAGGTATACATAACCGTAACAACTGTAATCGTCGATAAAGGTAACGAAGTAAGAATAACCTCCTTTGGCGGGCGTGCGATCATTGGTCTGACTAAGGAGCTCATCCGCACGTTGTCCCTTTCTTGTAAAAGGACTCTTTGTCATCTTGCCTAATAAACAAGATTCGCATGCCTCCATTGATTCATAATCAAATGGATCCAAAACACCATCTGAGTGGAGTTTGGCGATGCGTTTCTCACTTATATGGCCGAGACGGCAATGCCAGAGGTAGGTTGGGTTCAAGTAGTTCACCTTGTAATCCCTCGTATCGATGTTATAGATCAGATTAGATGATTTATCGCTCAACACATAAAGACCATTAAATAAGTAATCATTACCATATAAACCACTATCTTTATATATCGAAAGAATCTTATTCTTAATCGAAAACTCAAAACCATCCACATCAAGACAAGAAATTGAAATGATGTTCCTGCTTATAGCATGTACAAAGTAACAATTACGTAATTCTAAAACATGTCCAGACAGTAAAAGTAAATCATAGTCGCCAACACACAATGCAGCAATATTTGCTCCATTTCTGATGCGCAGATTCACTTCACCTCTCGCCAACATTCTACTTCTTCGCGACCCTACACATTTCCACAAATGTGTGAGGTATATCCGGTATCCAATACTCAAGATGAAGAAGACAAAATGTCAACTTCTATAACGTTGATACCTGAAGATAAAGCTTCAGCAAACTTCTTCTTCTTCAGATCCTCCAAGTAGAGATTAAAGTTCCTACGCCAGTGTCCAACCTCGTGGCAGTAGTTGCATTCTCCCTTGTCGGGTTTGGACTTCGGAAACACGGTAACTTTTGCCTTCTTTGCCGATTCATTGCCCTTTCCTTTTCTTCGTGGTCGCTTTCTGGAACTCTTTCCAGATTGCATGACAAGGATACTCTTATCAGTCTTAACCTTTTGCTCAGCCGACACTAGCATCCCATGCAGCTCGGTTAATGTAATATCCTGATTCTCGAATAAATTATTTAATTTATTTATGGGAATAAAAGAAGGTTAATCAAGTCTAAAATATAAGATGATTGGCATAAATATGAAACCAAAGGATAAGCGGGACTAAAAATGTCAAAAACGTCAAAAAAATAAATAAAAATGGTCTAGACCGGTCGGTCCAAAGGTACACCGATCGGTCTGTACATTCACGAACCAGACCGAATGGTCCGACACTAGACCGGACGGTCTGAGAGTTAGGGGAAAAGTTGTCGAAAATTCCGACTTTCTTTAATTTTCGGCAGCGATTTTCTCGAGACACATCGACCTCACGCGCGAACAAACGCCACCGAGACATAGTGGACGATACCCTCTGGCCCTCCTACCCTCTCCCTACCCCTATGACGGCGATAAACGTCGTTTTAACCAGCTCGAACAGAGCAAGATGATCATTCTGCAATCCAGAAACCGGTTCTTTGAAAAGAGAGAAAAAGAGAGTTATTCAGGAGGATTTGAGGCAAAACAAGCTCAGGGGATCCTAAAGAAATGGCATAGAAGATTACTGGAAAGTTTCACGGCGTGAAACAACCCAGAGAGTTCGCACGAGCTCGGAGAAAAACACATCTCGCAGAAATCCGAGGTGAGTGGATTTGAGTTGGGTTTGTGAGATTCAATTCTCATGATTAATGGTGTAGATTAGTGTTTCTACAAGGATTAAGGACCTAGGGATGTTAAATAATGAGTGGGTAGCAATCGGGATTGAAATCGGATCAAAATCTGGTAAAAAATGGTGAAAATCAGGCAAGAACGCGCGGAGAAGACGAAACCCAGGACCCAGTCGACCGACCGGTCCAGACCTGGACCTTCCGGTCTGGGCCACATATGGAACAACCGGTCCAAAAATGATCTAGACTGACCGGTCCATGCTCAGACCGATCGATCCAGGGGTAAAAATGAAGTTAACCGATCAAAACGCGTAGACCGGACAGTCTGTTTATGGACCGACCGGTCTGGGCCACAAAAGTGCAAACGGTCCAAAAATGAGCTGGATCGACCGGTCCACACTCAGACCGATCGGTCCAAGAGCAAAACAAAACCGGTTGATCAACACGCGTAGACCAGACGGTCTGTTCCTAGACCGATCGGTCCAGGCGAAAACAAAAAGGGAAAAATGATCTGGAATGAGACCAAAGGAACCAGAACAAAATATTGGCGGACCGGACGGTCCAATGAACGGATCGATCGGTCTGATCTAAAAGTCAACCGAGAACACTCTCAAACGAATCAAACTATACTAAGGTTCTAAGTTATAATCAAATGTAAAATGATAAAATAAATGGGTTGGACGAATGTGAAAAAAGATGGAAGTACATAAATGGAGGAATCAAATTACAAGCCGAAGTGAGTACGGAGAATAAATTCAGGAAAAAATTCGGGAATGGTAATATGGAAATAAAGGATAAAGGGTTGTATACGTATGCATGTGATTGAATGATTGATGGACCCCGTACTTAGTACCGATTAACAGTGTGGAGTCAGTACTAGTGCGGGGGGTGTAGAACCAGTGTCGGTTGACGACCTTGGAGTTAGCACTGGTGGGTGTGTGGTTTCTGTAGTAGTACCGGTTGACGAACTTGGAGTCAGTACTATTATAGAAACGTGTAGATGTAACACCAGTACCGATTGATGAAGTGGAGTCAATACTGGTGTATTTGGGTGGATGTTTCTATAATAGTACCGGTTGACGAAGTGAAGTCAGTACTGTTATAGGAATGTTTAGTGAAGCCAGTATCGGTTGACGATGTGGAGACAGTACTGGTGGATCTGCGTGGTCGTCTTTGTAATAGTACCGGTTGACGATGTGGAGTCAATACTATTACAGAGAAGTAAGGTTGAATCTAGTACCGGTAGACGAATTGAGTCAGTACTAGATGATACTAAAAGGAAATGGTACCTGATAGTGCCGGTTGACGAATAGAGTCAGTACTATCAGGTATTGATAATGCATGGAATAATAATAATTAAAATTCAGGGAATTAAAATGGATTATTGAGTAAAAGTAAAATGGATAAACGGAATTAAGGAAATTCTTGTATTGAGAGGTTAGTTGGCACCATTCTCCATGAGAATGGGCTCTCCGGGCTCAACCCGAGCCATTCACTAAGCATTATGCTTAGCCCTCCGTTGTTGAATTTTTCAGATCCTGAGGAGCACGAGTAACGCACTACGAGCGACGACGAATTTGTGAAGGCAGCATCATGTACGAATATATTTTCCTTCTTTGTACGTTTTGAACTATGGAACACGGTTCTACGTTTGTACGGTTGTGTTTAATTACGTTTTCGGATATGTGTTGTTTTCGAAAGACATTGATGTTTGTTTCCGCTGCGTAATTGTATGAAAACAAATGATTTTTAAATTCGATTTAGGATTATTTTAATTGGTTTAGTCCATGTGATGCATCATGTTTCATGGGAAACAGGATTCGGGTGTCACAGTTAAGCTCTTGTCCATTCCATTCATATTATATTAAGATAAAATGTCAAAAACTATCAGGAAGAGAATGGAGGACCATGTCCTCCGCAAGCTCCTTATGCATCTTAGCGCCAAGTCGTTCGAGATCATCAAAATGACTCTTCATTTTGAGAACATGCGGACCGATAGGACACCCGTTAGCCAGCTTATAGTCTAAAAGGCTACACATAACCTTGAACCTCTCAGAGCGGGCTTTCTCTTCGAACATGAGCTTGAGTTGATCCATTATCATCCAAGCGTCCAGACCATCAAACTGTTTGATCAGGTCGGGAGTCATTATTCCAAGCATAAGGCAGCTTACATCACGGTTGTCTTTCTTATACTTCAAGTAAGCATCATTGACAACCCATGGTGCATTATTCGGTGGCTCCTCATCGACGAACGGTTCGTGGAGGACGTACTCCTTATCTTCGCTTCTGAGAACAATTCTCAAGTAGCAGCACCAGTCAAGGAAGTTCGCCCCATTGAGTTTTTCACGCTCAATGATCGATCGCAATGAAGGTGACAGAGTTGGTACACTACCAGTTCCACTGTTCACCATCTACAGAATTTTAGACAGTATGACACAAGAAGATATAAATATATACATAAACAAGCAAAGAACAGTTCTAAGCACATCAACAGAAAATTTAGACAAAAAACGATAAAAGCTCCCACTAAAATGATAACCCACGATATCTTCTTATGGGTACTAGAATCTAATTCCAAACATAATCTTTAAGTCTGCTTTGGCATTACCCCTTAAGATTATGCTAATCAGGTAGACCAACAATCTGTCAATCACATCCACTGCGATTCCTAGCAGTCATGAGATTATAGTATCACATACTATTGCATGTTGTATCTCATCTTGTACCATTGAGTCCAAAACCCTTTTGATAACCCAATTAAGCCTAAACCAAATTTGAGTTCATGGAATGAAATAACTTGGTACACCTCGCGTAGGCGAAACCTATACCAAATTATCTCTTCCACCCCGCCTCACAAAGAAACCCAGTGCACCTCGCATAGACAAAACCTACACACAGATGATCGATGCCTTGACGAGTATCCTACCAATAGGTGGTACATAAGCTTATATTTCAGAGGGATTTTTAGATGTAACCATTACACGATATGAACAACATTTGTTCATTCCACCATAACCCGATATGTAACAATTACATATGATGTATCATAAACAACCATTGTTTCATATACATCTACCAATAACCCTAGCAATAGGATTCTGAGGTTCAGGACGGGAGCCCCGACCAGGGTCCAGGGGCGGAGTCCTAGCTGTGGATCCACTGACCGGTCAACGGACGGGAGTCTGGGGGCGAGGAGCCCCCTGCCCGAGGTGCGAGGCGAAGCCCCATTGGGCCGGACGATTTCGGTAACACAGTTACCTGGGAGAACGCAGATTCTGAAGCAAATATCGAGGTCCTCAACGTCGATATCGAACATCGATATCGAGGTTCTTTAGCGTCGATATCGAGGTTCCTTCAACATCGATATTCTTCAGATCTGGTATCTGAAAATCTCGATGGTACTCGACATCGATATCGAGGTTAATTCAACATCGATATCGAGGTTAATTCAACATCGATATTCTTTAGATCTGGTATCTGAAAATCTCGATGTCGCTCGACATCGATATCGAGGTTCCAAACATCGATATCTTCCAGATCTGAATCTGAAAAATATCGATATTTTCTCAACATCGATATCGAGGTTCTAAGAAATCGATATCGGTGTTCTCAACATCGATATCGAGGTCTCCAAAATGTCGATATCCAAAAACGCGATATGTTCATCCCGATTTTCAACTTTATGATCGATCCAATCGATTCACGAGTTTCTGTATTCGATTCTGATCATATCAACACTTTGATATAACCAAATCAAACCAAACAATTGATTGTTTTCACAAAAAACCTCAATTCGTTTGATAGATTCATACAACGTAGAGAGCACACATTTGATTCTCTTGTTCAAAACCGATTTTAAACTCATATCAAACATGAAACAAGTTTCAATTATATGCCAACTAGACTCTGATACCACTGTTGGGATTTTGGAGATCCCTAAACATGCGTTCACAACGGTTTCTAGGGTTCCAATCTTGGATTTCACGCAGCGGAATATATAAAACAAAACTCAATCAATAGATCTTGCATATAATAATAAAGGTATCGATATACCAACCTGTTTCGATCAATGGACCTATCACAAATGCTGAAATCAAGCGCTCTCTACAGCTAGTCCACACTTACGGGCCTATGTCTGCTAGAACACGATCTGGAGGTCGGGAACGGAACCCAAAGCGATCCCAAGGGAGAGAGAATTCGGCCATGAGAGAGAGAGAGGAGAAAAAGAAACTTTTTCTTAATCTTCACTTACCCTAAAATTATGTCTAATACATAATTATAAGAGATTAGGTTTCATTAAACCAAATGGATCTAATGGCCTTTACTTAATCGTTAAGAGAAAATAAGCTCATTAACCTCATTAATAAATATATCGGCCCATTGGATCACGTAATCCCATCCAATGGATTTCTAATCAGTTTTGCAAATCGATCGTGGTACGAGCACTATATCCATCATGTAGGACAATACTTATAGTGTTTATCAATCACCACAAGACCATAAAAAATATATATATGTTTGAGAGCATTATAAAGCATTATATGAGTTGAATTCCAACGGGTGCTCACATTCATAGATAAAGAAGAGTCGGAAGCACAACTAACTTGTTCTGTGTATTCCTTAAATGCCTTCAACTTCACCTCTGATCATCTAAAATACTTCACACTTTTTCTAATTTTAACCACAGTACCATCAATCACCTTTAATCCACTTTGCACTATGAGATTTAGGATATGTGTACTACATCTCACATGAAAATATTCACCTTTGCCTAATAAAAAATTTTTCGCTTCAAAGAAATATTTCAAGATGTCCATCATACTATATTTGATGTAGCATTATCAACGGTGATTGAAAACACCTTCTTTTCGATACCTTATTCCTTCAAACAACTATTATCTTCTTTGCAAATTTCATTCATGTATGGGGAAGGGGGGAAGTAGTGAATGAAAGTATCTTGCTATTCAAGTTCCATTCATCATCCACATAGTGCCTCGTCAGACATATATAACCCTCATGACTTATAGCAGTCCAAAGATCAGTAGTCAAGCATATCCGACTACGAATTCTAGTCAATTCAAGCTTCAACTTCTTTTTCTCTCCCTTATAAAACTTAAGACAACAATATTCCTACTTATCATTTTCAAATCTGGGTTGGCATATTGCATCATCTCTCGATACATCTTATACTCCACAAAGGCGAAAGGGAGTTCATGTCCAATGATCATTTTGGTAACTTTTTCCTTCCAAATTGCATGATCAACTTTCTTTTCTCTCAACTTTCCAGCATGATCAATAATCATATTAGCCATGTTACCAAATCTAGGTTTCATTCTGCAATCTCTGATATGACGCTTCAAATGTGATGTCCCACTAGCTGATGAAGCAGACAATGATTTACCACAATAACTGCAAATGACTTTGTCTTTATCTGTGTGTTTCATATGATCCCAAACAAAAAGACTTTTTTCGTTTTCAACCACTTGTTCTTTTTTATCATCATCTTCATGTTCTGATGTTCGATCATCAAATTCTGCCTCTTGGTGATCATATTTTGTCTCATCAGCAATAGGATCATCGGAAATAACATTCATTACAAACCTAAAAAAAGAAAATAATTTAGAAACGTAACTCACAGATTTTTTACATATTCATAAAAAAATATTTAAACCGAATTCTTTTTTTTTTAACTGATAAAATTAAAAACCAACCATTGAACTAACATCCAGACTGAATTTCTTTCTTTTTTAACACATGAAAGTGAATTAAAAACTAACCACTGAACTAACATATGAAATTAAAAATCCTTATAGTGAAAAAAAAACATGTTTGATTTTTTCAAATAAAATTGTGAATACCTACCAGATTTATAATATTCTCAAATATATGATATTCTCACAAACATGAAGATCTCATAAACAGAAAGATCCAAGAATAACACTATCATGAGAATGAAGAAATCAGAAAGTCCAAAAAAATCAAAGTCAACAAATTTTATATCCAAAATCGAAGTTATCTGGAAAAGAAAATGATAATAAGAAAAGTAAAAATCAAACATGTATTTTAGGCAACAAGCGCAGTGGATCTTCTCTTCTGGTACGTAACATGTCCATCTATACACAAAATTATATACATATAGCAAATATAAAATATAAAATGGAAGCTTACTCAAAGTGCTAGCCAATGAATCTTCTCTTCTGACAGTAGGGATAGTCTGTATAATCGAAGGTATTGGAATTCAGAGATAAGTTGCATCGAATCCGAAAGCAAAACAAGAAAGGCACACAAGAAAACAAAATCATAGACGGTAGAAAAGATAAAAATTAGGGTTTCGTATGGGTTGAAGAAGATATGGATTATTGTATGTCCCAACATATTTTTAAATCAATTTATTTTCGAGTCGGTCCGAGAGAAGCCCAGAAATTTACGGGTCAGGCCAACCCGGCCCAAAACTCGAACGGACTTCAATTTTAAGGGCAAAGCCCATAAATATTTCGGGCGGGTTCAGACTGAGTAACGGGCCTCAGACTTTTTTGATACCCTAGTCAAATGTAGTTACCTAACTTCGGAGAACAATTTCTCTACCTCCAAATATTTTCCATATGAGAGGAACTCATCAATTCTCCTTCTTCCAACTATATGGACAACCCACCATCTAGGGGTGGGATGGGTCGGGTATCCGGAAATTTGAGGATACCCGAACCCGAACGTCTCGGGTTACATGTTTTATTATCCGATCTCGTATCTGTAAAATCGGGTATCCGAATTCGAAAACCCGTGAGATAATTTCCGGGTACCCGAGGGTACCCAAACCCGAATATTTTATAATTTTTTCAATTATTATTTTTAAATATATTTATATATACACACTCAAAATCATTCAAAATAAATTTAAATTATATTTATATCTAAAAGAAATTTATTTTTAAAAAATACATCATAAATATATCCAATAATATCTATATAATCGTAAATATTAAATAAAATAATACAAAATCTAATAAAAAATCTAAATTTTAAGACATTTTTTTATTATCGGGATACTCGAGGGTACCCATGAGATACTAACCTTGTTTTATTATCCGATCTCGTATCTGTAAAATCGGGTATCCGAATTCGAAAACCCGTGAGATAATTTCCGGGTACCCGAGGGTACCCAAACCCGAATATTTTATAATTTTTTCAATTATTATTTTTAAATATATTTATATATACACACTCAAAATCATTCAAAATAAGATCTAATTATATTTATATCTAAAAGAAATTTATTTTAAAAAAATAAATCATAAATATATCCCAATAATATCTATATAATCATTAATATTAAATAAAATAACACAAAATCTAATAAAAAATCTAAAATTTAAAATATATTTTTTATTATCCGGGTACCCGAGGGTACCCGTGAGATAATAATCATTACCCGAACCCGAATCCGAAAATTCGGGTATTCTAATATCAATACCCGATCTCATGTCTCGTTCGTTCGGATACCCGAATTTTCGGATACCCGACCTTCGGGTCGGGTCGGGTACTCGAAATCCGGGTATTTTTGCCCACCCCTACCACCATCCCTACAATCTTGCGACAGACAACTAACTTTTCTCTAGGATGTATCTTTATGATCATATCATCACCATTATCATCAATATGAATATTTCGAATTCAAACTCTTTCGAATCAACATCTCGAATCCAATAATATATCATATCAATATGTTTCGATCTTGAATGATACGTCTGATTCTTTCCAAAATGAATTGCACTCTAACTGTCGCACAACAAGATATATCTATCTTGTTTAAACCCAAACTGCTCAAAAAATCTCTTGATCCACAACAGTTCCTTACAAGTTTTCATTGCGGCGATAAACTCAACTTCAGTGGTAGAAAGTGCAATGCATTTTTACAACTGCGATTGTCATATTACAACTCCACTCGCAAATGTTACGAAGTAATCTGATGTAGATTTCCGAGACTGCGTAGCTCTAACCATGTCAGAATTCGTTTAACCAACCAACAAAGGTTTATTATCCCCAAACACAATTCTCAAGACAGAAGTTCCTCGAGTATATCTTATAATTCATTTCACTTCTTACCAAGGGTTTTCTCTTGATGGATTTGAAAGAATTTATCCTTGATCAAAAGCATGGAAATTATTCCCAACAAATAGGTTCACCGGTTTGAATTTGATGGAGTATTAGAGATACAGATTCATTAGTCTTTCCTTATAAATCATAAACACTAATTAGTTTATATTCGGATATTTGATTTATTAGTAAAATAAATATTATCTTATTTATCCAAAATTGAGTGACTCAACCGATAATTTATAAAACAAAGTTTCTTCCCAATTTTGAGTCCAATCCTCTCAAATATATAATTGGATCGAAATTTAGGTGAAGTACTGGATTATAAAAAAAATATTATTATTATCTTACAAATAAATGCTATAAATATCTAAAAATTCTGTCATTGTAAATTCTATCTGGTACTTCTACAGTTCTACTTAGCTAGTCCTTGAAAAAAAAAATATTTTTTTTATGCAATTTATTAATATGAGATTCTAAATTTTATAATACTATACAGAGAATTGTGAATTTAGCCCTTGATAATCTAAACTTCAAACAGCATAACAAAAGTTTGATAACGAAAAATTTTAAAGATTTTCAGATCTTGTAAATAATATTTTTTCGAAAACAGATAATAAAACCTAAAATTCTTAAAGAAGAAATAAAGTGACTGCGTTTTATGTACATAAAATAATCAACATGAGTGTGCAGTCTACATCTATACATATATAGTAGGGCATATCAACCAGACATTTATACAAATGCTGAGTCAGCACAATGATAAAATGCTATTTACGCTAAACAATATCATTAACATTTTTGTAATGATTAGTACATTTTAATAATCCATTATTAATTTTCCTTTTCCTCCTCTGTATATAGAAAAATATATTTATATTATTTACCAAAAATATATATTTATATTTATTATGACTTAAATTTGGACCAACATTTCACCAAAAAAAAAGAGGTTAGGACCAGCCATGTGCGTGGCGGGAAACAAAACTTCCACTCGTGCATGCGTGGGTCCCGCGATCACACGCTTTGGACTCCTAACTCGCACGTGAAGAATCATCTGAACCGTTCATCAAATTCTCGTTGAACAGGTTTAACGGTTACGATTTGACATATCGGACCAAACAAACGACTTGGATTTTGACCGAAGACCACCAAATATATATAATAAAATAAACATTAAATATATATATTTTTAAAATAATATTTTATCAAATATTATATACCTTATGTGTCTCTAATATAACGTTAATTTCTCAGATTATATATAAAGTAATAATAATATAGCAATAATAATATCCATGCAGTGATATAGTAATATTTATGTGGTAAAAGTAAATAAATTAAAATAATAATAATGGGTTTGAAAAACGGTGACGTAAGCGTGCGTTTTGACTCATTCTTTAAACCCACCTCCACTTGTCCTGTTCCCTCGCCCACCTTTCTCTTCCCATTAGCATTTCATTCATCATTTCTCATTTCTCTCTCTCCCGAAAAAATTTCTCTTATTTTCCCGCATTTTCTCGCCTGATTCTCTGTTACTTTCTCGCCGGAGAAAAAAACTGGAAACAACTAGATGAGGATGGATTACACCGGTACGTTGCCTAGCTTCTTCAGGTGTCCGATCTCTCTCGACCTTATGAGATCTCCGGTGAGCCTCTGCACCGGCGTCACCTACGACCGTGCCAGTATTCAGCGGTGGCTAGACGGCGGTAACAACACTTGTCCGGCGACCATGCAAGTCTTAAAGAGCAGAGAATTGGTCCCTAACCTCACGCTTCAGCGACTGATCGAGGACTGGTCCGACTCCGTCGGCCGGAGAAGCTTCGATTCGACGGCGGAGACGTCGCAAGAAAATGGAGTTCCCGCGATGGAAGAGGCGAATGATGCTCTAGCGAAGATGAAGCTCGATATCGATTATGAGATTCGCCTGGAGATGTTGTCGAGAATTGTCAGGTTTGCGAGAGAATCCGAAGCCAACAGAGAATTTATGATGAAAAAGGAGGGCTTCATCCCAATGCTCGTCGACATCATGGTATCAGTCGATGGTGGAGCACGGACGAGCACGAGATTCGAGCTCGTTCTTCGTGCGATCACGATTCTGGACACGATCAGGAGCGAAAATGGAGGAGATCGGGAGAGGTTTTCAAATCTGATGTTGACGAGGTCTAATGGCGATTGCTTGACCGCGATTCTCCTCGGGCTTCAACGAGGGAATCTGGAATCTAAGATCGAGTCTGTTAGGGTTTTGGAGTGGATCGCCATTGACGCGAAATCCAAGCTCGTGATCGCAGAACGAGACGGAATCTTACAGGAACTGATGAAATCGATCAACACAGAGTCCGATCCGACCTTGATCGAGGCAAGCTTATCCCTCTTAATCGCTATTTCCACACCAAAACGAGTTCGATCGCGGATAATCACAGCGAAAGCCATCGCAAAACTCAGAGACCTCCTCCTTACAGAGACGACAAGCGTAACCGCAGGAGTGACGGAGAAGACGTTGAAACTGCTGGAGATTATGTCGTCTCGACGCGAAGGGAGATCGGAGATACGTGGCGGAGATGGCTTGAACGGAGGATGCGTGGAGGGCGTGGTGAGGAAGCTGTTGAAGGTGTCGACGGCGGCGACGGAGCACGCGGTTGCGATACTTTGGATAGTCTGTTACGTCTTCAGATCGGAATCTCCGGCGGCGGTGACGGAGGAGGAGAGGAGAAGCGGAGTGGGAAAGCTTCTGGTGGTGATTCAGAGCAACTGTTCACCGGCGATCCGGCAGATGGCGAAGGACCTGATAAAGGTGATGAAGGTGAAGAATTACGCTTCATGTTTGGTTGCTTATGATACAAAGACCACTCATATTATGCCCTTTTGAGTTTTGGCTTCTTTTTTTGGTTATTATTATGATTGCGAATGTTTGTATGTTCATAAAATGAATATAGAAGATTGTAAATCCGATTTGGAAAAATTTTGTAGAGAGATTAATTAATATACTTTTATATTCAAATGAATTCAATTATTTTTTTTATGTTTTTCTTTGCTTGCACGCACATTGTCTCTATGATGTTGTGTGTTCTTAAGCTCTCTATGTTAAAATTGATTTTTGATTCAAATGTGCAGCAAGAAATAAACCTAATAACATTTACTTACATCTAAAATTTAAATTAGTTTGATTTAAGATTCAATTACAATATTTTTTTTCAAAATTCCATTAATCGGATTTAAAAATAAAATGTGAATAAAAAATACATTCACTTATATTTAAAACTGCATAGTTATGCATCTGAATAAAATCGAATCCATTTTAATATTAATTAAATTATTTTTTAAAAATAAAATTTGAATATAAAATATAATCAAACTAAAACAAAATTTTCGAGATAGTCTATTTTTAGCACATTTGGCCCAAAAAAATATGAGTTCACTATTTTTTTGGTTATGGTTTAGTTATTAAAAAAATGAAAGGAATTAGGTTCCTCGGAGAGTGGTAATGTGCAATTCAAATATTCAAACATTCTGCCTTCGCCCACCCCACCTTTCTCCTATTTTTGTCCTCTTGCGCCATATTTCCACCAATTTCCAATATTTTATATTTCGTTTCAAAAATAAAAAGTGAAAGAATATTCTTAACAAAATCTAATTTCTGACAATAAAAATTCTAGCTCTTTCAATTTTGTTTTTATACTCAGGTGAATCTAAGAAGTATACTCTCCAACTGGATAGTTAGTTTTGGAACTAATATAATTATATAGGTTACATAATTTATAACCTATTTTGATATTAAACTAAATATTTTAATTCAAAATTATCAATTAAAAGTTTACAATTTGAAATTAATTTTATGATCCAAAATGTTTTCAGGGTTGCTCTTTAGCGTTTCAAAATATTATTAAATCAAATAGATATAAATAATTTTTATAAAAATAGAAAAATTGAACCTCAAAAATTAACTCTTACCAAAAAGAATGTTTCCATTTCCAATAAACATATACAATTAAAAAACCAAGACGAACCAAAATCCATATAAAAATCTGAAATATTCACCCCTATAGTCAATTAGGATCATGATATGATAAAAATTGTATGAACAATGGATTTGTGGAGTTGCGGACTTGGACAAAACCTCACTAACGTAGAAACTGTAGTTGGAAAATGATGTCTTTAGAATCTACACTAATCAAAAGTAACTAACTCTGTAAACTCTCTCCGAGGGTTTAAGTGGCTGCGACAGTTGAGTTCCATGTTCCTCCGATCAATGTCCCAACACCCTCTCCCTTGATTGCTTTCGAGATGTTACCTTGCTTTGATAGATTGAACACCACAACTGCAAATCACACAGGCAAAACAAAAAGTTTCCATCTTTGATCTCTGCACAGAGTTTTCAGTTAACAAAATCCGTTGAAACCCTAAGCCGAAACGTACCTGGGATGTTATTTTCCTGGCACAAAGTGATAGCAGTCATGTCCATCACCGAGAGATCTTTCGAGGTTACTTCTTGATATGTTAGAGTATCGAGAAGGCGGGCATTCGGGTTTCGTCTAGGATCATCATCATATACTCCATCAACATTTGTTGCTTTCAGCACAACCTCAGCATTAACTGGTTTAGAAGGGCCAAATCAAATGTTGTGAGGAAAGGGTTTGGTTTCTGTAGCAGGAATCTTTTCTGCATATGATTCAGATGATCTCAGAGAAATGAAACAGAGAGTTTCCAATAGGAATATCTTACTTTCAGCACAGCGAAGGGCTGCTGCAGTATCAGTGGTGAAGAACGGATTCCCTGTTCCGGCTGCAAATATGACGACCCTACCTTTCTCCAAATGTCTAACTGCCCGTCTCCGTATGTAAGGCTCTGCAACTTCTGACATGCGAAATGCAGTTTGGACACGAGTAGGAATGCCAATGCTCTCCATTGTTGCTTGAAGAAAAATTGCATTCATCACAGTAGCCAGCATCCTGTCAAATTTGATGAACCACAGTGAGACCCAGAAAAACTTCACATGCATCACAAGAAAGCTCATCCGATTGAAAAATCTTCTGGTTTTGAATGCCGATGCTCTCCATTGTAGCTTGAAGGAAGATCGCATTCATCACAGTTGCCAGCATCCTGTCAGAATTTGATGATCCAGACAGACTCACTGAGGCCAAGAACTTCCAAGTGGAAGGCATTTCTAGATCTTGTTTGGAAGAAATGAAACAAGAAATCTCGATACAGGACAAAAGAAGCATATGATTATAAAGATGGATGCATTGCATTCCACCAGAGTGAATGAGATACCCGATATAATCAGCAGATGAACGATCGAGGCCACTGCTTCCAGCCCAAGAGGATCCACGGAAGATGTTTCCTCCTCCAACCACGATTGCTACCTGTTTCAGCAGGCATGTTTTGTGATTTCAGCTTGTAAAGGAATTATCTTTTTGCAGAGAGTTTTAACAACCAGCCAAGGATGCAACCAAGCTATGAACACAAATGAGGGTAAGGATCAATTAACATCTGCTGAGGACAATGGATCAATATGGTCTAATCAATTAGACGGAAACGTCTGGATGAAGGTCTTAAATTCACCTCAATCCCAAGCCGAGTCACTTCTGCAACTTCCCTAGCGATCGCCATGGTAACCTGTTTTATTTAATGCGAACAAACTGAGAATTCTTGAGGGAACACATCAACACAGATATAAGAAAACAAGAAAGAAATGACCTTTGGATCGATATTTTGCTCATTGTCTCCAGCAAGAGCTTCTCCACTGACTTTGAGTAACACCCTTCTCCATTTGAATGACGGTTTCGATATACCAGCTTCGTTCATGTTCACGCAAAAGGAAAACGACGACTGCCTGCTTAAGCAGCCGAAATTCCATCAAATGTTACCACAAATTACAACGAAAGAGTCAGTTAACAAAGTAGAATCAGTCGTGTAACATTGAAAAATCATGATGGGCAAGATTAAGGTGAGCCAAATGCCAGATATTCGAAATATCAAAACCATGAATCTACGAAAGAACTCCACTCAAGCCTTTCAAACCATTAAGCTCAATAATGAACATAAGGCCCTGAATTATAAGAAAAAGAACAGAGAAACCGCACAGCATAACCATGAACACACGATCGACAACTATATCAAGATCAAACATTTGAAACTATTATGCTCAATGCATGAACGTAAAGTCAAAGGCCCATCAGAAAACCAACAGGGAAAACACAACATAACCAAATGGGTGTTCACAGAAACATTTTAACAAACACTTAGTGGGCGTAGAACTCGGAATGGCGGTTACCTCCCATTGACGGCCTCGGGAGAAGAACCAGCGTCGGGGGACAAAGACGAAGAGCAGCTGATGAACATCCGTCTTCTGAAACTCTGTTCGGACAAGGACTTGGGATTGTTGGGTTTAAGAGGGATCCAACAGATTGGGGAATGTGACGAGGAAGATTTTGGAGTGAGAGTAGTAAAGGGCGACAGAGATGTCGCAGAAATCGCCATAGCCGAGAAGGGAAGAGAAATTGGTAATCTGAAAAAATTAAAACATCCAATGGATTCACTACAGAATTGTGTCGCCGCCGCCAGGGAGAGGGTTTTGATTCTGGTCTCCGACTGAAACTGGCTATGGCCGACAAAGAAGATAAGGTGCGGTTTTCTACATGCAAATCTCTCTCTGAGCTTCTGTTTCAAATTCCGAAGAGCACCAAATCTATCTCACCCGGATTTAAATCGTCATTGGAGAATCAAATAAAAAAAAAAACAAAATCTGATTCGGTTTCATAAATAGCAATATATTTAAATAAAGGGTAAAACCCTAAAAAAAATTCAACTTGCAAAAATATATACAAATAAAACTTCAATTTAAAAAACTATCATTCAATCCTCGAACTTGTAACTTGTCACTCAATAAAACCTCGAACTTGCAAATTATTGCTCTAATAAACCTTTGACCGATTTGACCACAATTTCAGGCGATCGGAAATCTATGTATTAATGGATTGTTGATATCACCTTATACACGTTATCAATTTTAATTTAAAAAATGACATCAGCAATCCGTCAATACGTGGATTTTCGATCGTTTGAAATTGTGGTCAAACCGGTCAAAAGTTTTTTAGAACAATAATTTACAAGTTCGAGGTTTTATTCAGTGACAAGTTACAAGTTCGAGGATTGAATGATAGTTTTTCAAGTTGAAGGTTTATTTATATATATTTTTGCAAGTTGAAGGTTTTTTAGGGATTTTACCCTTAAATAAAAAAGAAGAATTTTTTTTTATTTCTTTATTTGCTTTTTTTTTGCTAACCCCATTCGATTTTTATTCAAATATTATTTCATAATAATAAACAAATTATCGCTGATTTATTTTTTTAATTTGATTATTTTTATCCAATTATTAATCCGGGATCGAAATGAATGGAGAATAATATTTTATGCGGCCGACTCCAAATAAACTTGAAAATGAGACGATGTTGTTGTTGTATTTTTTATTGTGGTATACAAATAGCTGGAATCTAAAATCTGTTCGTAGAAAATAGATAAAGAAATCAATGTTTCTTTTGTCACACATCGGTTTTTTTTTCGAACCAAATGTTAATGTTTCAAAGGAAAAATGTACATGTTGTTATGAAATGGGAAGAAATATTAACGATCCGGATATTAGATCGTTAATTATAACCGAAAATTATATTTTTTGGAAAATGGAGAAGAATGTATTTCTTATTAATCTCTCGTTTGAAAATCTACAAATGGAGGAACCCAAATGGCTTATTTATAGAAATTCCGAAGTTACTGTTCACGTATACGGTCGGTGTGAACAGGGTGGGTTCCACCATAAATATATTTTATTTATAACACTCCCCTTTGGAGCCACCATTAGTAAAATATGGTTGCGTGTTTTGGCGATGTCTCGTTAAAAACCTTATCAGTAAAATCCAATGGGATAAAACCTGATAAGGAAAAAAGAGTACAACTACACGCTCCTCCTGAACAAGACATCAAAGGTCTCGTAAATGGCGCATCTCAATATTATGTATATGCTTCTTGAACACCATTGTCGGAAGGGCCTTGGTGAACAGATCTGCTACATTGTCACATGATCGTATATATCTGACTTCAATCTCCTTATTTCTTTCAAGCTCCCGGGTGTATGCGAAGAAATTTTATTCTATCACTTTTGATGAATCATTCCTTAGTCATACTGATTCTCGGTTCGCCTTATGTAATGTGATGACCTTGGCATGATTAACTGATGTGGCAACTAGAGTCTGCCTTTTGAGAACATCATGCTAACGTAGTTCTATTGATTGTGAAGACGTCGCCTGTTTGTGACCTGCCTTTATGTGTGTCTGATAAATAACCTGCATCTGCAAAATCAACAATTTCTTGTTTTGTGTTATTAGGGTAAAACAATTCAAGATCAATAGATCTTTGAAGATAACAAAATATATGTTTAACATCATTCCAACGTCTTCGTGTTGGGGTAGAACTATATCTTGCTAATAGATTGGTAGCGAATGATATATCCGGTCTAGTACAATTTGCAAGATAAATAAGAGCTCCTATTGCACTTAGATACGGTACTTCAGGACCAAGTATCTCTTCATTATCTTCGCGAAGACGAAATAGATCATTTTCAATGTCCAATGTTTTATTAACCATCGGGGTACTTAGTGGATTTGCCTTATCCATGTTGAATCGTTTTAGTACCCATTTTGTATAATTAGATTGATGTAAAAAGATTTCATCTTTCAAATGTTCTATCTGTAACCCAAGATAATACTTGGTTTGTCCAAGATCTTTCATTTCAAATTCCCTTTTTAAATAAGGATGCATCCTAGATTTCATGAGAAGTTCCAATAATATTTAAATCATCAACGTATACAACAATAATCACAACCCCATATATCGTCTCCTTTATAAATACACATGGTGATATAGGATCATTTGTAAATCCATTTTTCAATAAATGCTCACTCAGACGTTTATACCACATACGTTCTGATTGTTTTAGCCCATACAATGATCATTGTAACTTGACGGCACATAACTCTCGTGGTTTTGCTTTCAATGTTTTGGGTATTTTAAATCCTTCAGGGACTTTCATATAGATACTCTATCAAGTAACCCATATAAATAAGCAGTAACAACATCCATGAGACGCATTTCTAAATTCTTTGAAACTGCAAGACTAATTAGGTATCGGAATGTAATAGCATCCATAACAGGAGAATAAGTTTTCTCGTAATCTACTCCTGGTCTTTGGGAAAATCCTTGTGTTACAAGACGAGATCTATATCTTACAATTTCGTTGTGCTCATTTATTTTCCGCACAAACATCCATTTACATCCAACAGGAGAAACTTATTTCGGTTTGATAGCAATATGTCCAAATACCTTTCGCTTATTAAGCGAATCTAATTCAGCTTGTATAAAATCTCTCCATTTATTCCAATCTGGTCTCTTTTGATACTCCGAAATAGATCTGGGTTCTGGATCCTCATTTTCATCAATTTCTTTTGATATATTATAAGAGAATATATCATCAATCTCTTTGATTTTTTTTTTATTCCATAATGTACCATTACTGATATAATTGATTGAGATCTCATGATTACTATCATCACAAAGTACTTCATTTCTTTGATTGGGAACTCATTCCTCCAAATCGAACATTTCATTTTTCTTGGGCCCTTAACTCTTTCGGAGGTTTTTTTCTTTAGAACCAATAGGTCATCCACGCTTTAGGCGTGTTTTGGAATTTCAATCCGAGCAGGAACATTTGTTCTTATTTTCTTTCACTTGTTCTTTCGGAATTTCAATCCGAACAGGAACATTTGCAACATTCTGCAAATGTATAATCCTTTGAACTTCTAGTTCTCATTGTTTTGTTGGGGGATCAAAATGGGATAATGATGGTGTACATCAATTAAGATCATTTCCATTTCCCAACATTTTATAATTTTCTTCCCCTAATGGTGGGAATTCAATTTCATTAAAATGACAAGCAACAAAACGAGTCATAAAAACATCTCTAGTTTGTGGCTTAAAATATCGTATAATGGATGACGAATCGTACTCAATATATACTTTCCGAAAATTCATGCCCGATTTTGACTTGTGATGGTCTAATTATTAATTTTCCTCTATAACATGCATCACAAGAAAGCTCATCCGATTGAAAAATCTTCTGGTTTTTTAATGGATGACCATAAAAGTTTTCGATGATTTTGCTCATCATAATGGCATCGGGATAACCCAATCGATTATGCCAAACTTTTGAACATATCAGTAAACTTCTGGTTTACTATGATATGTGATTCAATCACATTGGTATTAGTATAATATAATCTCGATGATAGAGTGGGTAATTTTTTCAACACATACTTTTGTCCGAATTGATTGAAGTGATATATAAATACTCATTGTCATCCTCATTCATAGGTTCAATATGATATCCGAAGATTTAGCCATATTCGTTTTCTAAGAACAAAACAACATGACAATCATTACAAAAAAAATAGATATATTAATAATTCATAATATCATTACTAACTTATGAAGCATAAATAGTGATACAAATCAGAACAACATATCATAAAATTATTTATACATGAGAATGCATATGTAGATAAGATTGATTATATAAACTATGCAAACATTTATATTGTTTTTATTCATAACCGGTTTCATCTTCAGGATGGGCAAAATCATCAGCGAGGTTCATGTGTGAAAAGTCTTTAGCACCACTAGTATCATCATCATAATCACTCATGACATGATTTGTCTCGATGTCTTTCCCTTTTATTTCTTTAATCGACTTCTCATAAAGTTCCACCAGGTGTTTAGCGGTGCGGCAAGTATGCGACCAATGTCCCGTCATTCCACACCGGTGGCATGTACTTTCTTTCATCATCTTGTTTGGATGATCATGTCCTCCCCCTTTATTACTGTTAAAATTATGGTTTTGGGATGAGTTTTCTTGACCACTCTTCTACTCCAACTTTGGCTAGCCCTACGACTGCGTCTTCAGCCCCGACCTCGACCTCTACCTCGAAAATAACCACGTCCTCGGTCATTATAAGACATAGCATTCACTCCAGGGAATGTCATTTTTTCTATAGCATTAGCTTTATAGGGAATAGTTTATTTTCTATCGCATTCGCTTCAGGGAATGGTACAGATCTAGTCGGTCGTGACGCATGGTTTTTTTTATTAACAACTCATTATTTTGTTCAACCAATAGGAGATACGATAAAAGCTCCAAATATTTTGTATATCCTTTTTCTCGATATTGTTGTTGGAGTATAATATTCGAGACATGCATTGTTGAGAAAGTTTTCTCCAACATCTCATTTTCGGTGACTGTTTTCTCCACATAATTTTAGAATCGAAGTGATTCGATACATTGTCGAGTTATATTCGCTGACATTCTTGAAAACTTGAAATCGGAGGTGCATCCGTTCATGTTTTGCCTTGGGGAGGATCACCGCTTTTTGATGATCAAAATGGTCTTTTAATTTTAACCAAATATCTGCAGGATCTTTGATTGTTAAATATTCTTTTTTCAAATCATCATGAAGATGATGTCGCAGTAATATCACTACCTTTGATTTATTCTCGTTTGATGTATTTTTTTCTTTAATGATTGTACCAAGACCTTTTGATTCGATATGCAATTCAGCATCCAACTTCTATGATAAATAATTATTTCCCTATATGTCGAAGACCTCGAACTCGATATTTGTCATTCTTGCCATTATGACTAAACAAAAAAATTGTTATAATTAGTAACACATAAACGAGATGTAAGACCGCAATGCAAATTAAAAATAAAAGTGGATCGGGATTTTTATCGAAGAAAATACTAAAAGTTGCTGCTAAAATTGGTAGAACAAAGAGAATTTTGATAAAATTCATCTTGAGAGATTTTTTTTTTCGTGGGAGAAGAGAAGAGAATGAGACAATTTGGTGTGGGTTGTTTGAGTGAATGGATAAATATATTTATAGGGTAAAATTTATTATTTCTAGCCGTTGGAGAGGAGCCAAAATTTGATTTTTTTTTATTTTTGATTTTCTTAAATGTAGCCATTGGAGAAAAATAAATTTTGAAAAATTTATAAATGATTTTACCAATTTATATCATAAAACTATACATAAAATAATTTATCAAAACGAATTGTTAAACTATTTTGTAAAATTAATTTATCATATTATGTATATAATTAACTAATTATTGAGGAAACAAATAATTTATAATTAATTTATTGATATATGAAAGAACTTATAAAACTTAATTTGTAAATTTTATTACTAACACTTTTTTTAGATTAAGTTCAAAATTTTTTCGTATAAATGACCATCAATAAATTTATATTATATATGATAATATTTTGCATGATGAATATTTATTAATTTATCGTCTGTAGAAGTAAAATAATTCAGGCGACATTGTCGTTCATACATAATAAACACAATAGTCTATTAATAAGTAAGACGGCATACCGTCCAATATTAACAATTAAGACGGCATAACCGTTTAATAACAAATAAATAATTAAGGTGGCATAGCCGTCCAAATTAATAATTAAGACGGCACAGTCGTCCAATAACGAATAAATATTTAAGGCGGCATAGCCGTCCAGATTAACAATTAAGGCGGCATAGCCGTCCATGAATAATAATCGAGGTGACATAGCCGTCTATAAATTAATTATAAAGAATATCGGTATTCATATATAGCTTGGAGTTAATTCCACTCAAGCATCAATCAATACATGCATAGACGGACCCACATGTATGGGAGTGGGGTCTCATGCCCCATATATTTAGGGAAAAAAAATTAATTTACTTATATTTGTTATAAAATTTTGATAAAAAAGGTTGAAGGCCCCCGTTAAATTTTTTCTTAGACCCCCTCCCATTCTTTTTTTCTTTTTCTAATTTCTTGTTTCTCTAAATATTAGGTTTTAAAATGTCCCTTTTTAGTCTTATTCTCTAAAAAAAACACAAATCTAATATTTTTTGTTTATTCATCAATTTCTATATTTTTGATCATATTTATAAATTTGTTTATATATATATATATTCATATATTTTATTTATAGAAAAACCAATTGACAAATATTTCAAAAAAAAAACTTTTTTCTAAGATAAAAAACTTTGCATCAATATAGTAAAATTTCAATCAGTAATATATCACATTATTAGTTTAGATCTCTCTCAACAAATTAATTTACATGATTTATTTTAGTATCTTGATGTGAAAAAAATATATTACAGACAGATTTTTAATGATAAATTTGTGAAAATAATTTTTCGTAATCATTTTGATGATCAATTTTTGAATAATTATATAGTTTATTTTATCGAAAAAGATATATTTCAGATAATTATAAATTAAATTGTTATAGATAGATTTTAAAAAATAAAGAATAGTAAAATTTAATAATAGAATATAAACATTGTTTTGACATATTTTATTAACTTTTTTATAGATATTTTATATATAATAATTATGGAACTCATAAATTTTTCTGGATCTGCCACTGAATATATGTATATATCATAAGAACGAAAATATTTGTATTAAAGATAAGTTATCTTATCTATATTGGTTATAGAAGAGCGCTCGTGCTGATAACGTGTTATGAAATCGGAAGAAATATTAACGATCCGGATATTAGATCGTTAACTATAACCGAAAACTGTATTTTTTGGAGAATATAGAATAATGTATTTTTTATTAATCTCTCTCTTGAAAATGTACAAATGGAGGAACCCAAATGTCCTATTTATAGAAACCCCGAAGTTACTGTTCACGTATATGGTCGGTGTGAACAATACCGTATGTATGAACAATAAATCGGTATGAACAGTAATTGTGAGATTCACCATAAATATATTTTATTTATAATACATGTATATATATAGTTAGAGATTTAAAGGGTAAAATCGTAAAAGCTAAACTTATTATAACAACATACTTTATAAGTTTAAAAATTATGATATATTTTAAAAGTTTAAAAATAAATTTATCCAATTAAAAAATTAGGAATTAATTTTTAATCATTTTCAAATTTAAAAATTTTACAAGTTTTACCCGTAGATAAATGATAAATCTCACATCATTTTTTTCCCATTGAAGACAAAATTGAAGAAGCAAAAACAAAAACCAAGGTTTCAAATAGATGTGAATGATGTGTCATTCATTACACAAAGTAGTATTACATTCAGGGCCGTCTCAAAAATATTTGGGGCCTTGTACAAATGTTTAAACAATATTTTTATTGTGAAAAATATTAATATATTAATATAAATGATTATAATCTAAAAATAAAAAATGATTTGATGATAACATTTCCTTTTTAAAAAGTAAATAAGTTATATTTATATATAAAATTATAAATAATATTTCAAATTTTTTGTTATTGTACATCTCTTCTATATTTCATTTAAATTTAGATAAAAGTGTAACTTTTTAAATTATTTATTATTTTTATTATCAATAAATTTTGAAAATAAAATAGGGAAAGTAAATAATTTAGAAGTATCTTAAATAAAATATTTTATTATAACTATAAATAATTTATATTGGTGAAGAGTTTTGGTAATGGTTTTATGTGTTATGTATAATTTAATTAAAATTAATAATTTTATAATAAAAACAAATTAAAATATGGGGACCTCCCAATTTTGGGGCCCTGTGCCAATGAGCTGAATGGAACACTGGGACGGCCCTGATTACACTGTAACACTGTAGCTTTAAGACTCAAATCTAACTATTATATAGCCTTTGGCCGAGTCCGTAACTATGGAACGTCCGAATCGCCCCGTCCCGCCCCGCCGTCGCGATCACAATTCCCCACGCGCCGCCGTTGAGGGTACTATCATAATAAAGCCCGTCTCCAGGGGTATCACGGTCATTTCGCTTCCCGGCGCTCAAAAGCTCCTCCTCCGGCCACGTGGCAGAGATGCGACAGGAGCGAGGGAAACTCTTGAGGGTTCGCCGGTGGTTGTCTCCGGTCGGCGTCGAAACCGTCGTCCCCGG